GTACTTATTCTTAAACCTAAGAGCGCATAATAATCACCTAAGGCTCGCCGCTGGATTTCCGAATTAAGTAGGTCCGAGGTGTGCCAAGAGGTCACCTTTGAAATAAGCCCCCCACCCCCACCCCATGGTGATGCAGGCAATCTGGGGGCCGCACCCTGACAGGCAGCTGAGAACCGGTTGACTTCACAAACGGCCTCCTGCCGCCCACACTCGACCGCCACCAACGTCCAAACTCCGGGCGGACCCATCACTGCCTCTGTCGCTCTGCCCCACCCTCTAGGCCTAGGTCGGCTGCGGGCGGACTTCAGTCGGATGTAGACCCAGGCGCTAAGGTGCCAAGGCAGACACTACCTGGCTTCCACTTTCGCCACCCACGACTCTGGTATCCCGGAACCTGTAACGCGGCCTCCCATTGGCTCAGCTCGGCACTGATTGGCTGGAGCGCTTCCAAAGCCTTTGAGGATTGGCTGAAACTCTGGGCGCCGTGGCCAGTTGGCGGGTAGGATCGCGTTCTGGGGGTCGGGTTCCGCTTGCCGTGGTGGTTTTACCTTTGGTTCCGTCTGCCACGCGCCCAGAGGTACCTCGGAGCGTCTTTCCTGTCACCTCCTTTGGCCAGCGTTGCATTTGAAGGGAAGAGGGGTTTAAGGTCAAGTCTGAATTTTGTTTTTTGTTTTTTTTCTCACGAAATTCGGGGCCCAGAATAGAATTGCTAAAGTTTTATTTTGACTAATGCTTTTCAAAGAAAGCCAAACTGCTTATCTTCAACAAAGTTTCATCAAAGAATTTAACATAAAAAAATGTACAAGGGCTATACAATCTAAGAATAAACAGGTCTTTAAAGCGACCTGTTTTTAACTTAAAGGGAACAAAACTCGTTAAATTGTTTTTATTTTTTTGATTTGACTGGAGATAGGTAAAGATGACCCCAGATCGCTAATTCTCAGCCCTGCATTGGACACCACTAGTTTAGCGTCATGATAGGGCACCCGCAGGCAAGGAAATTTGGTCCCAGGGAATGTCCTGTCTTTGTGAGGACTATGGGTTTTCCCACTGCATCATCATCATCATCATCATCATCATCATCATCATCATCATAATAGCAGCTAATGTTGAATGCTTACTAGGTAATAGATGAATGCTAAGAATAAAGCATTTTCCTCCAGTATCTGAATTAATCCTCCCCAAACCACCTGATGTATTGATACCATCAACTTGGAATAACTAATGAGAACCCTAGAGTGTAGAAAGTTGTAATTTGCCCAAGGTCACCCAGCTAGTAAATGCTGAAGAGGATATTAAAATCCAGCCTGAGCTCTCAGTCATTCAGACTGTTCATGAGCTAAGAGCTTACTTAAGCTTCTCCCTCAGTCTCTATGTTCATCTGCACCAGATGTTTAGAGATTGAACCAGGAGGGGATGATAGCCACCTTTTTGATACACCATGAATATGCCTGGGTTTTAACCAGAAATATTCCTTTTCCAAACTCAATGGATTTTGTTTGATTTTACAATGTTTGACTTTGGCTGTTTTTCAGGATCTTGAAAATATACCTTTGTTCATTGAAATGTAACTATATCAAAATATTAAAAAAAAATTTTTTTCTTTGATCTCTCAAGCTGTAAAGAGAAACAGGGATAGGAAAGCAGAATCAAATACTTAAAAAGAAAGTCTCCTTTTAACTGTGTTCAGAGTTCTTCCTCTGACAACTTTAGTTGAAAACAATCTTATTTAATATGTCCCAGATTTGTGGGTGTGTGTGGGGAGTGGAAGAATTGGATGAAAGTGGTCAAAAGGTATAAACTTTCAGTTATAAGATAAATATGACCTGGGATGTAATGCACAAGATGACTGTAGTTAACAGTGCTATATGGTAGATCTGAAAGTTGCTAAGAAAGTAGATCCTAAAAGTTCTCAGATCCAGGAAAAAATATTTTTTGTAACTATGAGGAGATGGATGTTAACTAACCTTATTGTGGAAGTTATTTCACTGTCAAGTCATTATATGATACACCTTAAACTCACACAGAACTATGTGTCAATTATATCTTAAAACTGGAAAAAAAAAAATATCCCGAAGACATTAGAACATGATTTCCTTGGATTCTAACTTTCCGAAACAAGTCTTGAATCTAGGTCCATTTGAAAACAGAGCCTTTTTCCTCACTCTTTGAACTTGGTGAACAATATCTGAACGCTCAGTAACATAATCTTTTAGTAAATTAGGCTTCCGAAATATTAGGAATATCTCCCAATTTCTGCCACTGTCAGAGATATAGGTATGAGAAAAAAATTTTGAAAAACTGAAGAATGCAAAGGCCACTTCTCATCTCAAAACAGAGACTGATAAAGAAATTATTTCTGTTGTGACATTCTTTTCCTAGAAGGCTTAAGTTATTATTACCCTTGACTAAAGATTTCCATACTTTCGAAACATCTGATTATATTTCAGGTAGCTGGAAACTGACCTGGAGTAGATAGATATGGCCTTGTTACCATTTGTTTCTTGCTTGAATAAATCAGTATAATAGAGGTGTCAACATGATATAATAACATAAAAGGAATATTTACAAACAGGATTTCAAAGAGGTACTTATTGGGTCTTAAGAAAGAAGTAAGGATAAACTGAAAGGTCATAATGAAAATCTTTCCAGGGAAACCATAGTGTTCAGTGGTGAGATTAAAAACCACATCACTGACATGTAGCCTGAAGCATTCAGCCCATTCAACTGGCATTTAACTGGTAACTGGTGAAATAAATATTGAGTTGAATTCTAATTCTAATGTGCTTGGCAAAGCTGAATTGCAGTGCATTTCATCTTTATGGATACAAAATTGGAATGCACTGTGCTATTAACAATGTTTTCTTATTCACTAGCATTAGTCATTATTTTAAAGTACACTGAGCTCTTATTTTACTGAAAATGGCCTGCATGATTTCATTTGATATTCAAAACCCGTCAAGTAGGTACTATTTGTGTTCTCGTTTTACATGTAAGAAAGATGAAGGTCAATGAAGTTAGATAGCTTGCCTAAGTGCCAAAGCTGGGGTTTGAGATAGTGCCAAATGACAACCTTGACATTATATTGCTTCCCTTTAGACTCTAAGGAAGAACCGTTTCCATCCCTCTGTCTATTCTCTCTTCACTATACTGGATAGACTTGCATTTCAGAATGTGACTTCCCATACACAGATATTACTCTTAATAAACAATATTTCCTAACTCTCAGAGTTGATTTCCTTTAAAAGGTGGGAATAAGGGGGGAAAACTTGGAAATATAATCTCTCTGGCATAGTGTAAAGGCGAATCCGGGAACCTTGCTCTTTACCAGTGGAATTCCCAGTTTGGCTGTTATTAATTCGGTCACTGTCAGTATAGACTAGGGATGAGCAAACTAAGGCTTGAAAGCCAAATTCAGCCCACTGCTGGTTTTTGTACAGTCGAACAGCTGAGAATGGTTTTTACATTTTTAAATGGTCGAAAAAAATCAAGAGAAGAATCATAATTTGTGACACATGAAAATTATATAAAATTCACCAAGAGTGAGCCCTAATGTAAATTAGGGACTTTGGGTGATAATGATATATCAATGTAGGTTCATCAGTTTTAAAAATGTAGGACATGGATGGTGGGGGAAGCTGTGCATGTGTGAGGGTAGTAGGTGTATAGGAAATCTTTATATCTTCTGCTCAGTTTTGCTGTGAACCTAAAACTGCTCTAAAAATAAAGTTTATTTAAAACATATGCAACATATGCATATGAAGTCTGTGGCCATGCTACCCTGAACAAGCCTGATCCCGTGATTAGCTAAGCAGGGTCGGGCCTTGTTAGTACTTGAATGGGAGACCACCTAGGAAGACCAGGTGCTGTAGGAGTAAAAAATAAAAAAATAAGGGATTGTAAGCTGACAAGGTCCTTGCAATCTGTGAGGTCAACCAAGAGGGTTGTCTCACCTAAAAAATCAAAACAAAACCAAAAGAATGCATATGAAATTCAAATTCAAACTCTATAAATATCTTATTGGCACATAGCCACACCCATTCGTATATATATTATCTATGAGGGTGAAATTGAGTAGTTGAGACAAGATAGATCAAAAAACCTAAGATATTTACTATCTGAACTTTTAGAGAAAAAGCTTGGCCATCGCTAGTATAGGCTAAAATCCTGGTTGGAATGCTGCCCTGGAAGGCAAACTTCTTACTCTTCCACCTCTTACTAGTTATGAGGCTTTTGGCAAGTGATTTAACCTTACTAGTCTCTGTTTACTCATCTTTTAAAATGAAATAATAATAGAACCTTTATAGGACTCTTTTAAGGATTAAATGAGTGAATACACATAAAGCACCAAACATATGTTAGTAATAATTTATTTTGATTTTGCAAATTTCACATTCCCCATATGGCCTACCCTTTTAGAATATGGATATATATTTTTTCTCAGCTATTTGACATCTGCATTCTTTATATGAAGAATACATTTGTCTGCTCAGGAGTCATCTCTTTGTCTACCAGAAGCTCTCAGAAGACAGGGTTATTTTTGTCGCTTCTATTTTACCATTCAGTTTGTCCTTCTTGATCAAAATTAGCTCCACAGTAATAGTTATACTATTACTTTCTCCATCTCCCAAAATGCAAAATTGTCAGCACAGTAAGTCAAGAAGCGATTTGTCTTTTCCAATACCAGATTTCTTGCTGATGTATATGCATTTTCTTTTCAGTGAATATTTATTTATTTGTTTGTTGTTCGTTTGTTTCTTTTTTAGGCAAGGCAGCTCTTGTTTGACCTCACCGATTGCAAGGACCTTGTCAGCTTACAATTCCTTATTTTTTTTTTTACGCCTAAAGCACCTGGTCTTTCTAAGTGGGCTCCCATCCAAGTACTAACTAGGCCTGGCCCTGCTTAGCTTATGAGATCAGACAGGATCGGGCTTGTTCAGGGTGGCATGGTCGTAGACAAGAGAGAACATTTATTAAAACATTTCGGCCATTCCCCAATTCTTGTAAAGCAACAACTTGCCACATCTCACATGAAATCACTCTGAATGACTTAGCAAAAATTATAATTGAGTCACTAATCCGAAGATTTTCAAGGATTCTTATTCAGTAGAAAAATATGTTAACACAATTAACCAAGAGTTTCTGGACAGACTGGAATTCCAAAGGACAGACAGTGCCCATTCATAAGCTACATAATTAGGTTCTGACGTTTTAATAAAAGATATTTAGATTTGGCTAACATTTGTTGAGCAGCTATTATGTGCTCTATCCTTTCCAAGACATATCTTTTCCTCTCCACACTTATTAGCTTTAGAGGTCAAGACAACATAGACTTTCACATTCCTTCAACCCTACTAGCTGGTCACGTTGGGCAAATGATTTCATTGTTCTGAGACTGTTTTGTAAAATAGCAATAATAATAACTGCCTAACTGGGTAGTTGTGGGAATCAAATAAAGTAATCCACGGAAATCATTTAGTATGAGTGAAGCATATAATACTCCCCTCCCCCTTTTTCTTTACCTGCCAACCCCATGGAATACGTTTACAAGTTCCATTTCAGCTCAATCCTGTAAAATTAAAGGAATTATCTTTCCACCTGCTAAATTTCAGCATCTCAGCTTCTCGGGCAGAGCAAAGGCCAGCTACCTCCTTTATCTCATAGATCAAAGAGCTACCCAAATGGTCCTTGTATTGCTGTGCTGTTCAGAACTGTCTTTATCTTCTCTGAAATGCATGCTGGCGGGTGGGGAGAGCTCACAATTTATTCTTTGCCTCTAGATATCTTGTTTTTAGTTCATTATCAGTTTTCCATAGCTTAGATAAAATTTCACGAATAGGGACAAAACTAGGGTGAGGCAAATGAAGTGTCTAGGGCGCAAAATTTAGGTAGACACTCTCAGGTCGTGCAAGATGTCAACACTAAAATGTTTTTCTTATCTGCTATATTGTGAAAAAGTTTGGCTTTTTTTTTTTTTTTTTTTAAATAAATATTCTTTGTACTGAAGAGGTGGCCAGTTGTCTTAGAGATGCAGGAGGGAGGGCTTGGGATGGGAAAGAAAATGTTAGTGTTACCCTGGTCAATTTTTATTCAACTCCCTTGAAGTACGTGCTGGAGTTTAAATGCTCATTCTTCACGGATTCCCGATATGGAGAAGAGACCCCATCAAATGCTATTCCCACGTGTTCAAAGCAAGAAGTACTTTTCAGGGGTTTTTTGTTTTGCCCACTCCGAATCTGGGGTGATGCCTCTCCAGGTTAAGTTATCCCTCTGCCCTTCCAGAGCCCGGTCTCTCAAAAATTGAATTTGGGCAGGAGGGGCTTGCCGGAGCATAGCTGTCCCTGGAGCCAGCTCGGCGGCGAGCCTCGGGGAGGCGGCGTTGGGCTTCCGCAGAAACTTGGAGACTATGAGTGATGATGCGAGCAGGTCCTTGGGGAAAGGTGAGTCTTCCTGACAGGTGTCCGCGGGCTGGGGGCGCTGCGTGGCTCTGTAGAGGGTGCTGCCGGACCTTGGCCCCCCAGACCAGCACGGCGGGGAGGAATTTGAAGGGTTCTTCTGCACAGAAACCACTTGCAAAAATGTCCTCTTTGGGACTCGAGAGGCCTAGCGCGCGCAGCCTTCTTAGGATCCCAGGGAG